GCGGTAGGAGACAACCAAGATCTTTTGCTTCTTCTTTCTTGCACCTCTTCCTTCCCAATATCTGTCAAGTTTCAGGATCCTGAACTTCATGGCTTGAATCTTCCTTCTCACTTCTTCTAACAACAACAACATTAGCTCCTCTTGCTTTCAAGCATCAATATTAGTCCTGTGTCTTTGTTCAAGCTGGTACTGATCTTCACCTATCATCCATTGCTCACTCTTCCATTTGTTAATAGCTCTGGCTTCATGATATAACTCTAGTCCTTGAGTTTCAGTCGCTTCACTCCCTGCAAATAGAGCATCTGCTGCTGTTCCTACTACGGATATACAACTGGCAGAAGGAAACTCTGCAATATCTTCTTTTCCTTTTGGGCAGCATGGCTTACAACCACCCTCATCTTTAGCCAAACAGTTGGAAGAGTCTCTTAGTAGAGCAGCCATAAAAACTGGTTTTGCAATATGTACCCCCACCTGGGACCACTAACAATAAGTCTACTGTAGAATACACCCAATGTGTTATATTTCATGTCATCTGTAGCCCTGATCTCTTTACCCGCAGTAGTCATCTGAAACCAATAGCCACAAACTACACCCCCATCTAGAACAATTAAACAGACCACGGGTATTTCTCTAATCCTTTCCTTATCATTCTTGGTCAATCCTACTCCCAACCCTTTTCGGATATATTCTATAGAATTCACATCAGCACTTTTGAAATCCTCATTCTGTTTCAGTCCTTCCAACATTCCTTTTGAAGAAAGATGTAGCACATTATCTATTGGGACACCCAACTCATTCTGCTTCAGCCCCTCCAACTTCCCATATTTCAAATGTTTTGGATATGGTTCTAAAACATTAACATACCTTCCAGCTTCATAGGTAATGTTATCTGATTCGCGCTCTTCAGAATCTTTCAGATTATTTGATTGATCAACATTTTCTACCTCATCCAGAACCTCCTCTTTCGTTCCCCACTGTTGAACTGAAGGTGCAGATGCTTTCAAGTCAATGTTCGTGTCCCGTTGTGGCCCCCTTGAAAATCCTTCTCCTGTTGTGCCTACATTTATATCTTTTGAATTGTATGATTGCTTTAGGTATGCTGAAATTAGTGCATTGGGAGTCGTTGCTTGGACTGAATTCTTTAAACCATTAGAAATTCCTCCTGATGATGATTGAGGATGATGGTCAATTAGCGAGCTGGGTAATGCAGTACTCAATTTCGAAAATGGAGTAACATTAATTCGCTTAAAAGATTTCGAAAATGGAGTAACATTAATTCGCTTAGAAGATTGCTTCGTGACCTTGATGACCCCGGTAAAGCTGTTTCCCCTGTCTTCGCGTTTAGGTGGAAAATCCCTGATCAAGTCTTCCTTTAGAGACTCCCAACTATCTTCCCTCTTTTGAAAATCCCACCATTGAAACCAACCCTCTGCTTCTTCCCCCATAGCCTTTGCTGCCACGTCCACTTTAAATCTTACTGCAATATCTTGGACTCGGAAATATCTTTCCATCCTCCCTATCCATTCGTAAGCTTCAGGTTCGTAGAATAAAGGTAAATCCTCCTTTGAACTAGCTGACTTCCGAGAAACTGCTTTAGAAGAATATAGCGAACTGTGAGAGTCCTTTGATGACGAAGATGATGACCCCCCCCCCCCCCCCGCTTCTTTCTTGGACGCATATTGACATCCGAGAAGTAAGTCTGTGAATTGAGAGAAACTATTCGCGACTGTGAACAGTGATCGGTAGTTTGCGACTTCGTCTGCGACTCCTTTGGTGATAGCAAAGCATGCCTGATGTTCCTCAATCCTTCACCAGTTCTTCTGCGACTACTCTGTTCTTCCGATTCATCTGCGTCGATCGAAAGTCGCGTATGTCGATGATGAGAGTCGCGATGATGAGAGTCGCGGTTAGGACTGGACTCGGGCCGGTTCGGGCCCGGTTCAGGCCTGGGCCCGTCCGGGCCTCGGTTCATGAAAGGGGAGGCCCGGAACCAGCCCGGGTAACCCCCGGGTCCGGGTCGGGCCGGGCCTCGGTTCAATTTTTTTTGGCTTGTCCTAATTAACCCCCAACCCTCCCCCCCTCACCCCCAAACCACCCCAAACCATCTAAAATAACCCACTTGGCCTATGCGGACGATCTTATGCTCTTTTCGAGAGGAGACAAATATTCCATTGGAATATTGGTTGATGCTCTTAAAGAGTTTGGGGACGTATCGGGCCTAAGGGTTAACCATAATAAATCTAATATTTTCATCAGAGGGGTTAACAGTTTGGATTTGCAGGGTATATTAGACCTCGTTGACTTTGATCATGGAGTATTCCCGGTGAGTAGGGGTGCAAACGAGCCGAGCCGAGCCCGATTTTCTACAGGCTCGAGCTCGAGCTCGAAATATATAGCATCGGCTCGAGCTCGGGCTCGGCTCGAACGAGCCTACAAAATCGCGGCTCGAACTCGACTCGCAGAAGGCTCGGTTCGACTCGGCTCGGCTCGAGGCTCGATAACCATTATGATGCTCCATAATGAGTCCGTAGTAAAAATTCACTGTCATCGGCCCATTCTAAGTTTTTCTACTGAGTAGTAACGACCTAAGCCTAAAATATTATAAAATTTTACTAATCAGCATATATTATATACTCCCTCCGTCCCCTTTTAAATGTCCCGTTTTACCATATTGGGATGTCCCTATTTAATTGTCTCATACCTTATTTGGTAAAGTTTGTGTAGTTCAAAATTATTTTTACTTTATTCTTACTTTATCAATTAATATCAATCACACAAACCCACTTTTTTTAGAACTCGTGTCATACTCTTCCGAGACATTTAAAAGGGGACGGAGGGAGTATATCATATATATTACTCCGTACATTATAACAGTATACATTATATATTAATTAATATTGCATAGTAATATATTATATATGATTATATAATATATATATATATATATATATATATATTATAAATATTCACATATAAAATTAGGCTCGCGAGCCGGCTCGCGAGCCACCGAGCCTAAAATTAGAAGGCTCGAGCTCGGGCTCGACTGCTTAACGAGCCGGCTCGATCTCGGCTCGAGCTCGAATTTGACCGATCCCGATTCGAGCTTTGACCGAGCGGCTCGCGAGCGGCTCACGAGCGGCTCGGCTCATTTGCACCCCTACCGGTGAGATACCTTGGTATCCCACTTGCGCCTTTAAAAATTTCCGTGGCCCAATATGCGCCACTTCTGAATACGGTAAATGATTTCTTAAACACTTGGAACACCAAGACGATTTCCTATGCAGGTAAACTTGAGCTAATACGATCTGTGATCCAAGGGGTCCAGTCGTTTTGGCTCCAAGTGTTTCCGGTACCTCAAACTGTTCTGAATAGGATTGTCTCGATTTGCCGTATTTTTTTATGGGGTGGCAAATTTGCAAAGGTGGCGTGTGACGATATTTGCCTCCCTAAAGAGGAAGGGGGACTGGGCATTCACAATGCAAAGATATGGAATCATGCCCTACTTGCTCGCACCCTTTGGGATGTACATCTAAAGAAAGACACGCTCTGGGTGCGTTGGGTGAACGGTGTCTACCTCAAGGGTAGAAACGTGTGGGACTTTGTCCCACACACCCGGGACTCTCAGCTCATGAAGCGATTGAGTCTCATTAGAGATAAGATTCGGGGTTGTTTTAATAATTTGAATGATACGATTATTGGCCTTAATGCCCGTTCCACGAATGGAAAATTAACCTCCGCTAAAATCTATGATTTGTTAAGAGTTAGGGGTAATGTCAGGACTCCTATGAGTTTCATATGGAAATGCTACATCCCCCCCCCCCCCAAACTATCTTTTAACGTATGGTTGGCTTTAAGAAACCGGCTTCCTACCCAGGATAGCCTCGGTTATCTACACATTGTGAATAGGTGTGACCTATGCAAGGGTGGTTTAGAGACAATACCACACCTCTTTTTCCTTTGCCCCTTTACTTGTGTAGGGTGTGGCAGCACATAAGGAACTGGATGGGACTCGGGCATGAAATGACTACCTTGCTAAGTGCCATTAAGTGGATCACGAAGACTCATAAAGGATCGACGCTGAAGGCAAAAGCAGTCCGTCTAGCTTTCTGCGCTTCGGTCTACTATATCTGGCATGTAAGGAATGAGCTACGTTTTGATGGAGGTTTGAAGACGGAAGCTGATGTGATTTCTAAGGTCAAACATGTGGTGTATAAGATCCTTTATAACTTATACCCACACGAGTTGATTAACTTTTGATGGGAGAAAGTGATCGCCTCTTCAAAGCCGCGGCATCATCTTTTGGGACTGTGTGTGCGCACCTTGCAACACCTTGAGTTTATGGCTGGGCCAAGGGGAGTGTACACTATAACCTCCTATTGGCTGTTTCTCTTTTTTGGTTGTTGTATGTTTTTCATGTTCTATGTGTGTGCACCTAGCAGCACTGATTGGTTTTTCCTGTATGGTTTGGGGCATTTAGTATTCTATACGTGGGCCCCTTTTGATTTTTGTTTAGATCGAATAAAAACCTCTCCTAACCCCTACACTAGGTAGGGGTGGGGGTGGGGGTTTAGGAGATCTAGAACCATTTGATGTAAATTTTCTTGGGTGTTAATATATATTTATATTTCATCCAAAAAAAAAAATACCCAGCCCAACCCAAAAACTTAAAAAAAAATTTAAAAAAAATAAATAAATAAATAAATTGGCCCGGACCGGGCCCAAACCGGCCGGGCCGGTTCACCTTTTGAGGGGCCCGGACCGGAACCCCAGCGGGTCGGGCCTACCCGGACCGGTCCCTGGCCGGGCCGGCGGTTCGGGCCGGTTCAAACAGTAACCGGTTAACCGTTTCGGGCTGCCCGGCCCAAGTCCAGGCCTAGTCGCGGTGATGAGAGTCGCAATGATGAGAAGTGTGTATGCAACCTTCATCTTACTTGCACTTTCACTTGAAACCCCATTCCGGCTTGGAGAAATTTCTGATGGAGGTTTTAAGTGTATCTATGAAACAAGCTACTCTACAAGAGTACAATTATACAGGTTATGTATTAATGCCCAAGGATTGTAGCGTCACAGATATACATTTTCTGTTCCAGTTAGAGGCTTGACAATTTTGGCGCTCATATAAATTTGTTAGATATAGCTATATGAGTGTGTTAGTTAAATTCTGTCTGAAAACATTTTTTGAGACAATTGCACTGTATTGAATTTTCCTCTTACAGGTTGAGAATCAATGCTGAAACTGCTGTATTTATGCACAACTATGGATGTTTTCTTTTGGACTGTTTTCAGTCCCAGACCAGAGCAGATCAGATCAGACCAGACCAGACCAGATTTAAACAGACCAGACCAGACTTGGATAGTTATAAAATACACAGAGACCAGACGTTTACCAGACCAGACCAGTTCAGACCAGACCAGATTTAAACAAACCAGATCAGACCAGACCAGACTAGCAAATTTCAGTCCAAAAGAAAACATCCTGTTTCATAATTTTAGTGTATGTTTTTTTTTTCAATAGAAATTGGTCTCTGCATGTGTACAAATCAATTTGACGTGCCACATATCCGTATTTTCTTCTATATTCATGGTTGACATAAAAATATCTTTCTTAAACATTGAGCAGCTCAGGAATTAGAGAAAGAAATTCATGGGCCATCAGGCGATTCTCTTCCAGCAGAAAAGAAACTTTGTGTATTTGACAAGATATTTGCAGCATATCGTGAAGCCAGAAGCAGCATTCGTGGTGATTTGGTGAGAACAATACAATTGTGCATACCGATCCTTATCAAATGGTCTCTGTTGCTCCAAGAACTTTAGTTCATAACCTTTTTATGATACTATTGATTTGGAAGAGCACGATGCTATTTTATATGCATAACTCTTGAAACTGATGCCAGTTTATACGGTTATTCAGGTTACTGCAGCTAATTCTGATAAGGATCGGTAGGTATATGTGCATTATAACTAGTTTGTGTGAAAGAATAATTGTGACAGAATGGCTTACCCAATAGGTAGCCCTCGTATGATATTTATAATAAAGAGTATTAAGAGTAATTACATAAGAGTCCTTATAATTACACTATTACACCCCCTCAATCTGTGCAGGGGAAACCACGTGCAGATTGGAACGTAAAAACTCAAAACGTTGACTAGATAAATTCTTAGTAAAAATGTCAGCGAGCTGATACTGAGTGGGAGTGTACTTAACAACGAGATCCCCATGTGCTACTCTTTCACGAACAAAATGATAATCGATCTTGATGTGCTTGCTGCGGTCATGCTGAATGGGATTAACTGCAAGGTAGGAGGCGGAGACATTATCACAGAACAGTTGAACAGGAGAGGATATCCGAATGCCCATGTCTAGAAGTAATGACCGAATAAATAGTGTGTCCTGGACGGTGTAAGCCACAGCTCGGTACTCAGCCTCTGTGGAAGATTTGGATACAGTGGGTTGCTTTTTGGAGCGCCAAGAAATAAGGTTGCCACCGAGAAAAATAGCATAGCCCGTAGTGGATCGGCAAGAGTCTGGGCATCCAGCCCAGTCAGCATCCGAATAAGCAACAATCAGGGAAATACTCTGTCCAGCCCGAAGCCATAGGCCGTGAGAAGAAGTGCCCTGTAAGTACCTGTAAATTCTTTTAACTGCAGCAAGATGAGTAGTACGGGGAGCATGCATAAACTGAGAAACCAAATGTACGGCATAAGTAATGTCAGGTCTAGTAATAGTCAGATATTGCAATGCACCTACCATACTGCGATACTCAGTACCATCACTAAGAAGATCCCCATCTGTAAGAGACAGTGTGGTGCGAGACGGGAGGGGTGTTCGAACAGGCTTCACAGTATGAAGATGAAAACGGTGAAGTAGGTCATTGACATATTTATGTTGAGACAGAAAAATACCCTTGGGGTTACGGTGAGCCTGAATGCCAAGGAAAAAATGAATATCTCCCAAATCTTTCATTGCAAACTGACGGGATAAAAGACGTATAAATTGTCGAACAAAAGACTCGGAATTACCAGTGATAAGAATGTCATCAACATATAATAATATATAAATAGTGCAAGACTGAGAGTGGTATGTAAACATAGAAGAATCAGACTGACTTTGTAAGAAGCCATGAGACAATAAAAAACCACTGAAACGATGAAACCAAGCACGTGGTGCTTGTTTCAGACCATAGAGAGCTTTCTTGAGTTTACAGATATGAGAAGGATAGGATGGATGAATAAAACCTGGTGGTTGACGCATGTAAACCTCTTCTGTGAGATGACCATGCAGGAACGCATTTTTGACATCTAATTGACGCACCGCCCAACCTGAGGAAATAGCAATAGAAAGAACAAGACGAACTGTGGTGGGTTTAACCACCGGACTGAAGGTCTCAGAAAAATCTATCCCAGCCTGTTGATTAAACCCTTGAGCGACCAAACGAGCCTTGTGCCGCTCAACAGACCCATCAGAACGGTATTTCGTTTTATAAATCCACTTACATCCAACCACATTTTTTGTTGTATCACTGGGTACTAAATCCCACGTATCATTAGCAATAAGAGCATTAAATTCTTCTGCCATGGCTGCCCGCCAAACCAAACTTTTATTTGCTTGAGAAAAACAAGTGGGATCATTAGGGAGAGCTAAAGTGTTTAAAGTAAAAATCGTTTTGGGTTTAAAAATGCCATCTTTAGCCCTCGTGCGCATTGGGTGAATGTTGGGAGCCATATGGGAAGAAGAGGATACTGGTGGGTTGCTAGATGGATGAGGAGGATCAGAATGGGCGACGGATGTACTTACTTCAACCGGAGAGCTACTGGGTCGCGGAGAAGATGGTGGGGTGGACCTAGGAGTGAGGTGAGGGGAGCTATTGGCCGAGGAGGTATTACTGCTGGCCGAAGGGGAGGAAGTGGGGAAGGTGGGCGTGTTACTGTGGAGGGGACTGCTACTGGCCGAAGACGGAGCAGTAAATTTTGGTGAGGTAGGTAAATTGGGGGAGGCTGCCGGTGGTGAAATGGGCATAGGGGAAGTAAAGGTCCAAGGTGAAAGAGAGGCGGGTGAAGAACTGGGAGCAGGAGGTTGGCTAAGGCCTGTGTAGGGAAAGGAGGTTTCATGAAATACTACGTCTCTGCTCACATAAACCCGGCCTGTTCGCGGATCAAGGCACCGATAACCTTTATACCCCGGAGCATAGCCTAAAAACACACACATAGTGGACCGTGGGGATAATTTATTTGAAGAAGATGCAATAAAGTTTGGAAAACATGCACACCCAAACACACGGAGAAAAGTATAGTCAGGTGGTTTTTGAAACAGTATCTCGAACGGAGACATACCATGCAAATTTGGTGTAGGTAGGCGATTGATAATAAATGTAGCTGTGTAGAGAGCTTCCACCCAAAAAACAGGGGGTAAGGACGCCTCTATAAGCATAGTGCGTGAGAGTTCCAAAAGGTGTCTATGCTTACGCTCAGCCACACCATTTTGTGCAGGCGTATCCGGACAAGATTTACGAAACAAAATACCACATTTAAGAAAATGGTTTTGGAAGGAAGAATTGACAAATTCACCACCACCATCACTTTGAAAACATTTAATTTTACAGTTAAAAAGATTTTCAACAAGAGTTTGAAAATTACAAAAATGAGTAAAAACTTCTGACTTTTTATGCATAGGATAGACCCAAGTGTATCGGGAAAAATCATCAATAAAAGAGACATAATATTTAAAACCTAAATTTGATAACACAGGCGACTGCCAAACATCTGAATGAATAATTTCTAAAGGAGCCGTAACAGTACGAGTAACATCAGAAAAAGGAAGGCGGTGGGACTTGCCCAGTTTACAGGAAATACAATCATGAGAAAAAGTACTAGAGCTAGTAATAAATTTATTTTTCCTAAGAACAGATATAACACGATCCCCACAGTGACCAAGACGCTTGTGCCAGACTGGACCAGGAACAAGCTTGGTTTGTAATGCAAGAGACGGAGTAGTCAGCTGGGTTGCACTAAAGGGGTAAACAGAGTCCTTATTGGAGGCCTGGAGGAGTATGGCTCCCGTGTGATTGTCCTTGACAAAAAAATTATTTTTATTAAAAATAACAGAACAATCATTATCCGCACACAAACGCTGAATAGATAATAAATTATATTGAAGGTGCGGAACATGATAGACTGATTTTAATAAAAGTGGGCGAGTAGCAGTAGATAAAGTAGCATTACCAATGTGGGATACGGGGAGATTAGTACCATTAGCGACACGTACAGAAAATGGACCAGAATAAAGGGACTTATTAGTTAAAATACCTTCGTTTGGAGTCATGTGAGCTGAAGCACCCGAATCCGGGTACCACACGGACGCATTTGTTTCGCCCGTAGGGATAGCCGCCAAAGCTGGTGTAGAATTTGTGAACCGAGGACAATTTATGGCGGAGTGACCTGGAGAATAACAAAGCTGACACACAACAGGCGGTGCAGGGGATTGATAATTATGCTCAACAGAGGGGTATCCTGCAAAGGGATGGTGAGCAACACAAGTAGATAAAGCATGAATACCATTAAAAACAGACCCAAAATTACCTGATGCCATACCTTGATACCCAGTCTGTGGAGGACCCCGTGCCTGAGCCATCTGCTGCCATCCATGCGGACCAGGTACTGGAGCTAGTGGAGGGTGTCCACCAGGTGCTGACGGACCGTAGGCAGGCTGCTGTCCCCCGTAAACATAACCAGGCTGTCCGGCGTAGCCTCTGCCGCGGCCACGATGACCCCTCGCGCGACCTCCACCACGGAAACCCCTGCCATTGCCGCGAGCTGCACCCCCTCGAGCTGGAGGGCGGACTGCCTGCTGCGGCTCATGAGCCACAAAGGCCTGATGACCGGGATGAGAATTTTGGGACCGAAGATAGAGAACCCGTTGCTCCAACGCCATTAATTGTGGCCGAAGAGAGTCAAAGGTGAAGCTGTCCGGGAACAAGGTAACGGAGGTAATAACGGACTCATATTCAGGACCCAAACCAGCCACCATTTGTTGAAGAAGTTCACGATTACTAACGGGAGAATTAATAGAATTTAGATTATCGGTTAAAACAATAATCTCCCGCAAATAATCATCCATGGATTGGTCTTCCTTCTTCTTTAAACTGGATAAAATTCTCCTAAGTTCAATTGCTCTAGCGACACAGGCGGCCATAAAACGAGTCTCCAATTTTTCCCATATTAATGCCGAAAAACGAAGAGTATGAACTTCAAGTAATATGTTACGAGACAAAGTCGCAAACAACCATGATCTAACAGTTTGATCTACTTTGAGCCATGAATGATATTCAGGATTAGGGGCATCCAAAAGAGTTGGAGACGGGGCAGGAATGGATCTATCAATAATCCCCAATAATCCATGAGACACTAAAAACGCTTCAAATTGTGTACGCCAAGTAAGATAATCCTCCACTTTATCCAAACGAGTAGTGACAATGTTTGTAACGTTTGGAGTTGAAAAAGATAATTGAGATGATAATTGGGATAGAGTGGAAGAAGTTACCAAAGGAGCAGTGTGCCGAGAGGTTGAGGCGGACTCGAAGGGCAGGACACCTGGCTGGCCTGAGAAGGTTGGTCCGCTGTACTGCGTGGAAAAAGCAACTGTCGGACGGAGAGTTGGAGTGACTGGCGGTAATGTAGGTATAGTGGGCGTCCATGTAAATGGTTCTGGCATATTGAACAACCGAAGAGACTCCAATGGAGGTGGCGGTAGTGTACTCCGGGTGGCGGACAGTCTTGGTGACATGTGAACACCGGAGGTATAAAGCGGCTCCGTTAGGGCGGGCGCTGAAGACACCGGAAGTGCGGCAGTGGCCATGATCGATGAGGAAGAAGCCATCGATGGACTTGCAGGCAGCGACGAAGGGAGAACGTGCGCCGCAGTAGTGGTCGACATATTTCGTTTCTAGGGTTGGAAAGCCTAGGCTGCTGATACCATGTGAAAGAATAATTGTGACAGAATGGCTTACCCAATAGGTAGCCCTCGTATGATATTTATAATAAAGAGTATTAAGAGTAATTACATAAGAGTCCTTATAATTACACTATTAGTTTGCACCACATTGACTGCCTTTAATGTTGGATTCTCTTGGATAATATATCATTGATGAATCTTGGCTCTACTTGGTCAAGAGAATATTTAAAGTATTAAGGAAAATTTTAAATGGCACATATGCTGCAATATTTTGAATTGTTGTTACCTTTATCTTTTGGATTTATGGGTGATATAATTGATATTTTTCCGTTTTTGGTCAATTAACTTGTGATTTATTGTGCACCCCCACCCCGTGCCAAGCAGGTGATAGTCAATGAGCTGAAAGTGTTATCCAGTGAGAGTAGATCCAATGGCTGTATAGAGCATGCGAGAGGAATTATGGAGCTAGAGAAGGCTTCAGAGAATCTCTCGAAAAACATATCAGCTATTTCATTAAGTGGAAATGAGAAAAAGGTTCTTCCTCTTGTAGAATTATGTTTTATCCCTTTTCTACATCAATTGTCCATGAATTTATTTAATCGAATTAGCTGTGCAGTGTTAATATATTACGAAGGTGTCTGCTTTTAGCCCTTTTTTCTGGATTAATGTTTGAGCTCGACCGATTAGTGTATATACAACCTGTACCTTACTTGCACTTTCACTTGAAACCCCATTTCAGCTGGAGAAATTTCTGATGGAGAAATTGCACTGTTATGAATCTGCGGTTGGCGAGTATTCCAACAACAGGAAAGCAGCCCCTGCTCGCATTGAAGTCTTTCCACCTGCCTTCCAGGCAGTGCCCTGCAACCCAATTTTGTTGGATCTGGCATATGATTTCATTCAGTTCCCTTCACTTGATAGTAGGATTAGGAAAGACAAAAAGGGCGGCGGTAGCACCAGCTTCCTTACCAGATTTTGGGGTTGAGTTCGCCGTATCTCTCTGCCATCCCTTTAGTTTTTGGTTGGGATTGAGTATTACTACTATTATTTATGTATTCATGCAAGCCAGGATTTTCCCTTTCTCCAACTACACACAGGCATACAGCTTTGTTTATTTTCTATTTTCCCTTTCTCCATCAATAGAAGTTTTTGTTGCTTGTTTTTTTAAACAGGATTATTGTAATAGTAAATGAGAGTTGTTCTTTTTTAACTCTGGTAAAACTTAAAAGCGTGGACTTTTGTCTTTTTATGGTTGAAGTTGATACCCTTTTTTTTAAATCTTTTTGTCCAACACGTACAGCTCAAACTGAAACCTCTTTACTTTTTAATTTGTAGAAGTGTTTAAATCTAGCTGTTAATATCTTTTTATGAAACACCATCATTATGAAAGAAAGATTAACAGGAATTGGATTCATGGCATGCACAAGAACTTGGTTCTTTGTCCAACCAAATATGAAGAATGGATGTACTGCCAAAGTATCTATTACTCCCATTAGAAAGGCTAAATTGAGCAGAGATTTAGCCAGGTGATTTATAGCGATAGGTGAATCGGGATGTCAACTAGAGCTTTGGTGAGACGAAGAAATCAAATTATGAAGAGTGCAAAGCTTGACCTAGGCTTGGACTTGGGCCGGGCGGCCTACCCCGGAACCGGCCTGGCCCGATTACTGTTTGAACCGGCCTGGCCCGGGAACCGGTCGGGGGGGCGGTTCGGGTCGACCCGGCCCGGTAGTCCAGCGGTTCGGTCTCAGGCCCTTCAAATGGCGAACCGGCCGGGCCCGGTTCGGGCCTAACGGCTCTTTTTTTTTTAAAAAAAAATTGTTTTAAAATTATTTGGGGGCATCTAGCCGTTGGGAGACCTCCCAAACGGCTCTATAGCTGTGGGAGGGGGGGGTCCAGGGGTTTTGGGGGTGGGGTGGGGGGGGTGGGGGGTGGGAATAAAAAAAACCCTATTTATACTCCTATTTTCTATACATTTTTTACACCTCTTCTCCAACTCTTCCTACTCTCTAATTCTCTATTCCCTCATACTCTTAAATTATAATCATCTCCATCTTCATCTTCTCCAAACCTCTCTACATATATATATTATTTATATAATTATTATATCTACTTATATATTAATTATCTACTTATATACCTATATTATATTACTAATATTTATTATCTACTTAATACTCCGTATATATTTATTATCTTCTTAATATTTACTTTGATATCTACTTATCATCTATACTTATTGTTATTTACTTATATATTAAATTATTAATTATCTACTTTACATACATATATTATATTACTTATATTCCTTATTTACTTAATCTCTACCTAATATCTACTTATATATATTAAAGTATTATATATAAGTGTATTACTCATCTTATAGTAATATACTTATATATTATATACTATAAACATTATATTATATATTAGTTATACAATTATATTAGTTACACTTGAATTCATAGTAATTAAATTCATCGTATTAGTTAATTTTTACATTTTTCATTAAAGTATAAAAGTAGTTAATTTTTACATTTTTCATTAAAGTATAAAAGTAGTTAATTGTTACATTTTTCATTAAAGTATAAAACTAGTTCATTGTTACATTTTTCATTCAAGTATAAAACTAGTTAATTGTTACATTTTTCATTCAAGTATAAAACTAGTTAATAGTTACATTTTTCATTCAAGTATAAAACTAGTTAATTGTTACATTTTTCATTCAAGTATAAAACTAGTTAATTGTTACATTTTTCATTCAAGTATAAAACTAGTTAATAGTTACATTTTTCATTTCCCTATTATTTAATTTGTTTATTGTTGCATTCATCATAAAAGTAAAAAACTAGTTAATTATTAATTGTTGCATTAAAGTATCAACTAATAAAAGTAGTTAATTTTATTAGTCGCATTTTATTATTACTATTGTACTCATATTAAAACATTTGATATCATATAATATTTGTTACATTTTAAAGATGGACCGTGCCAGACATTCCGTAGATGTGGGTAGTCTCCAACGCAACCGAAGGAAGGAGATTGCGACAAGTCATCATAGTTTACGCAAAGGCAAAGGTAAAGGTCGGGTCAGGTCTTCTTCTCAAAGTCGAGAAGATTTTGATGACGGATACCAAAGGTGAGATGGGGATGCGATGTTCGACGAGCAACTACAACAACTATTGGCGCAAAATGATGGTCGCTTTTTCCAACAACAAAACATCCCAGAGTCCATTGATGAAGAGGAGCTCGAGGATGACGATGCGGAGGAGGACGAAGGGGGCGACGGGACTCACGGCACCCCGGATGATGAGCAAGAGTTGGAGGACGAGGGCGGTCCATCCCAAGTTGGAAAGAAATCTAAATCTCTTATTATAGAAAATAATTTTACAAAGAGGAGAGACCCAAAAACCGATAAATGGTACGCAAGTTGCGATCATTGCAAGAAGGAGTATAGCTTGGGAACTTCAGGTGGATACGGGAGCCTCAAAAGGCATCTTAAGTCCACGCACTCTGTGGAGTATGCGAAAATAGACAAAGGGAAGGGGAAGCAAACTCAAATATCGAGGTTTGCAAATGACCAACCTTTTGGCAATTTCTCATACACTGATGCACAAAATTTGACTGGTATGGCTAACTTACTTGTTGAAGAAAGTCTTGCTTTTAAAGATTATGCACAAACTTGTTTAAATCCTCAATTTAGAAGTTATAGTCGCAAAACGGCTAAGAAAGAAATTATAAGGCTTTATCGTGCGGAAAGGGATAGGTTACAAATTTTTTTTTGCAAACTTTGACGGCCGTGCTACTATTTGTTCTGACATTTGGGAGGATACTTATCATAATTTACATTATTTGGGCTTGACTACACATTTTATTGATAGTGATTGGAATTTGCATAAACGTGTTCTTGCTTTTCGTGAATTTAATGATCGTCACACCATTGAACATATTTATATTTTGATTGAACGTATTTTAACTGAGTATAATTTGATTGATAAGGTGTTTGCTATAGGTTTTGATAATGCTACTAATAATACTGTTGCTATACCTAGATTGCGTGAATTATGTGGTTCTAATACTTTGATGGGTAGATTTTTTCATCAACGATGTGCACGCCATATTATAAATTTATGTGTGCAAGACGGTATAAAAGCGTTAGGAGATGCTATGGAGGTAGTCAAGGGGGGGGGGGGGGGATTAGACGTATTTGAGGCAATAGTCAACTTAAATTAAAATGGCAAAATTATTTGATTGAAAGAGGTGTGAAATATGTTGCTTTCCCTAAAGATTTGTCTATTCGGTGGAATAGTACTTATAAATTAATTAAAGTTCTTCTTAGATATAAAGAACATTTTCCTGCTTTTTTAAGACAATATGATAACTATATTTTAAACCCCGCTCACATCGACACTTGCGAAGAAATTTGTAATGTTTTGATATATTTTAATAATGCAACTGAAAGTTTTAGTCATGTTTATAAACCTACCTCAAACAAATTTATTCGTGAAGTTGTTAATCTCGCCGGTGCTTTTAATGAATTTGAGAATGCCGCTTACGTGAGTTATTTTTGTGGTTTTATGAAGGAAAAGTTTTAAAAATATTATGCACATATTCCGCATATTTATAGTATTGCATTTATTCTCGATCCTCGTTATAGACTTGGTAATTTGGAAGAATGTTTGAAGTTCTATTATAATGCTTTTTTTGGTCCATTTCCAATGTATGATGATAACGCCATAGATCCGCAAGTTGAATACAACGAGGTTAGTAATTTATTTTATGCCTTATTTAATTAGTTTCGTGCACAATATGGCAACGCGCCCCCTCCCCCGACACACACATCTTCATCTAAAGGAAAATCACTTTTTAAATCTGCTTTTGACAATCTTATGAAAAAACCTAAAACAACTCACACTACTGAACAAGGCGCACTTAATGAGATTTCTTTGTATATAAATTATGAGGTAGAATTTGACAAAAATGAGGAGTTTGACGTTCTAAAGTGGTGGAAGTCAAAAGAAAGAATGTTCCCGATTTTGGCACGGATGGCTAAGCAAGTGCTATCAATGCCGGTTTCAATAGTTGCCGTGGAACAAGAATTTAGTTCGGCCGACAACGTTCTAACGGCATCTAGAACGAGTTTGAGCGTTGAGTCTCTTGAGACGCTTATATGCTACTACGATTGGTTGAAGGCCATACGTAGATGTCAAGAAGTTAGCATCACCCTCTCCCAAGACTTTATGGATGAATCAACAACCGAGAGTGGCTCCTATGCCGGAGATTCCGATTGATTAGTATTTTACAGTTTATTATAAAATGTATTTCATGTTTTAATTTTTCCTTCAATTCTCTATTGTAATTTGTAAAGTTGTATTTCATATTTCAAATAAATATACATTCTTTTTTTATATGTAGCACTTCTCAAATTAATTAATTAATTAATTGGTTACAAACTTACAACTTACAATTTATTGTATTAGTATTTTTTGAAAAATGTATTTCATATTTAAGTTGTATTAAAAAGATTAAAAAAAATTAACCTAGGCCCGACCCGACCCGGCGGGTGGCCCGGCCCGGGCCCGGCGGGTGACCCGGCCCGAACCGGCACCGGGCGAAGGACGGGCCGGTCCGGGCCCCCTTTATAGGATCGGAGGCCCGACCGGGCCTAGGCCCGGGCCGGGCCGAACCGAGTCCAGCCCTAGCTTGACCTAGTTTTGAAACTTTTTGGTGCATATAATATAGAGAATGAGTTTCCCGGGATTGTTTGCTTCAAGGGAGGTTGCATTAGCCTATTGGGAATTGGGAATGTTAAATTGATATATGACCATCAGACCATGTGTCATTGTTTGAATATGATTGAATTTAGTTATTTTGAAGGTGAAACCAAAGAAAGTATGCCAAAATGTTCGTTATTGTTGCGATTGAGAGAGACTTGTTTTCAATTAGGGCCATTAGGTTGCCATTTTTATCTATCCCAAATTCCAATAAAAGCCACTCTTTCCGTCTCTTAAAACTTTGTCAACTTTTCTTTTTTTGTTTCCCACTAATTTTGCCACTTTTCCTTTTAAGTAAGAAATTTGTGGTTTCATTTAATTTTCCCTTCTGCACAAACATCAATTACACAATTTTACTTTATTATTTGTCGTGTTGATCAAACTTGGCCAATTTTTAAGGGATGGAAAGGGTACAATTTTGTCCCTCCATCATCATTACCTGAGTGCCGCAAAGGCTCACGGTTGGGTAAGGGGGTCGGATGTAAGCAGTCTTGCTCATGTACTAAAGCACAGAGAGTCTGTTTCTGGATGATTCATAGTGAAAATCGCATCCAAAATTGCATGGCTGACTGCTGTACTTCATAATAAAGAAGATCAGACAATTTAGCGATCCATTTTACTTTACTCAATCATGTTCCAAAGATAAAAAATGGTGAACCTCTGGCTCCATTGCAAATGATGGAAAACAATTTTGTCGGCAAAAATTGACCTCATGGAAATTCACCATTCATTTCTTAACTCTTATTCCACCTACTCCTAAATGTCTCTTGTATTCTTCTATGCGGTGTGTGTATTGTTTCCCAATACCTTTTCCGCACTTTCCCAGCTTTAGAATTTAATTAGGTGTATAGGTGGCGAGCTTGTATTGAATTTAGAATGTGAAGATCTAGTGATTTTCAGAAATCATGTTTTATTTTAGAATTCCTAAAATTTGGATATTCATTTAATTTTTGGAGGCTCAAATTGTTTGTCTTGGGAGGTGCTTTTACTTGGCAAAATCCTACAACTTTGCAGTTAAGACTTAAGAGGACTGAAGCTTATGCCTTGTTCTCTCGAACTCGCTCTTTATCTGATGATACATTGAAGAAACTTTACGATACAAATATTTATGATCAACATGTATATGTGCATTATAACTAGTTTGCACCACTTGGTCAACAAACTAGATGATGAATTCATAACAATATACTATGTACCATCCAAGGATAATATATGCTTTCCCGCCTTTAATGTTAGATTCTCTTGATATTTCACCATTTCCAATGAAACCAATGGAACCGAAGACTCACTAAACTATACGCGCTTCTTTGTTATGAAACATTCATTCCTTGCAGTTTTCGTCGCGATTTATCCCTGAGTTTATTTAATGGAATTAATTGTGCAATGTTAATATATTAGGAAAGTGTTTGAGCTCGACTGATACATAGTGTATATGCAACCTTCATCTTACTTGCACTTTCACTTGAAACCCCATTCTGACTTGGAGAAATTTCTGATGGAGAACGCACCAGAAACCCCAACAACGCCAGCTTCCTTGAAACCCCAACACCAACTTCCTTTCCAGCTTTTGAGCTGGTGTTCATCCTCTCTATCTGCCATCCCTTAGTTTTGGATTGGGATCAAGTATTATAATTTATTTATTTATTTATGCAAGCCAGGTTTTCCGTTCTCCAACTACATACAACTTTATTTATTTCTATTTTACGATTCTGCATCAACAGAAGTATGTGTTGCTTGTTTCTTTAAACATGATTATTGTAAACAATAATGAGTTGTAAGCTCTTTTGAACTTTGATAAAAGCAGGAAAGCATGTATTGCTCAAGCCGTCGGTAGGCATGGACCCGGTTCGGGCCGCCCAGCCCGGGACCGGCCCGGCCCGCCACTGTGCGGGCCCGGAACCGGCCCGGTTCTCGGGTCCGGGTCGGGCCTAGGCCCGGTGGGGGGGGCGGGTCCGGGCTCGGGCCTTGTATTTGGCGAACCGGCCCGGCCGGGTCAGGCCCGGGCCCGGGCCAAATTGATTTTTTTTTTTTTTTCATTTTTTGGGGTTAGCCAGGTTGGGCTTGATGGTTAGGAGGGGTTTGGGGGTTTGGGGGGTGGGTGGGGGGTTAGGAAAGCAACAAAAAAAAAAAAATGACCGAACCAGAGGCCCGGCCCGGACCAGACCCGGTGGCTACCCGGGCCGGTCCCGGGCCTTCCTTCCCAAAAAAAAGCCCGGCGGGCCCGGCCCGGAACCGGCCCGGCCCGGGTCCATGACTAGCCGTCGGGTAGGAAAGCATGCATTGCTCAATAGGCGGAAAGTCGGAAATACATTTAGTTAATCATGTATTGCTCAATATTTATTTCCTCGTAATAATTAATGATGTTGCGGGGTAAGAAAAGGTCACACAACAATGTTACCAAATCATTCAGGTAAGTTTGAGCTCCAGTAATCACCAAGGACTGGTGATAAAGCACAGATTTTGAAATTTACCTGGATTGGATATTGAATAACCGTGAAATTTGTGTATGGTGAAGAGGCCAGAGGTGAACAATAGATTTGTTTGTGGTGCAGTAGTTGAGCATGAATCCAAATTGTAAATAGTTACAAGTCTTACAACGGGCGCAAATGTTAACAAGTCTGATAGTGTTCAAAACTATTTTCTTGTGCTTAATAAAATATGAAGTATGTTTTTTCTTTTTGGGAAACAAAACCATAAGAACTAGTTCCCATGGATTGCACGGATGTTGAATGTAATTAACTTTTGCCTGATTTTTTTTCATGAGAAGTAGCACACATAAGCGAAAGCAACATAAAATACATGCACGTCACCCAGACCTAGAATTTGGGAGTTGGGACCTCCAAGAACCCAAAGTGAGACGCCTCAACACCAAATGCCAATGCATCTAACTGAAGTAGCAAAAAAGATGTGCAAGAGAAGTTTAGTCCCCCCGGCAGTCTATACGCACTGGCTCCTTGAACACAAAAAGTTGTAGAGCATGTCAATCAGCCATGGAACACCAATGCCTATATAGATGTTCACCTAATTGCTGCAAAACCAAATACATAACTCCCTCCTGCCAACAAGATAGGGTGAAATACATCTTTGATCCACAGAGGAGATCAGCAAAACTAATCCAGTTGAATTTGTTTGGCAATGTGGTACTGAGTTACCATCTTACACATAATTGCAAATTTTAACAGAATACACAGTTCAAAAGCAGGATAAGACAAATTTTGCAGAGTGACAATTTTATAAAATTTTAAAATGCCAAGTTCATTCAAAACAATGACCAAAATATTACTCTTGGAGTCTGAATGGACAAAAGTGTATGACCTATACAACTATATCTACCAGAAGAACAGCCATCATGTGAGAAGAGTGGCCGGAAATAATTGCCCAAAATAGTCCCTGCAAACTGCTGTGCCATTTTGGGCAGTTGCAGTGATAGATGGGTTAGCGCCACTGCCTCACTGGGATTGAGTTTCATCACTTTAGTATTAGAAGTAACTCAACTAGTTACTTCTGGTGAGTTTTTAAAAAGTATCCACTTCTGGTCATTAACTTTTCCTTTAGTAACACATAAAAGTGACCTAACTAGCTACTCCTAGTAACACCTAAAAAGTAGTCACTTGACTCGCTTCTAGTCTTTAGCTTTTTCTTTAATAATACGCTCATGTCAAACCCCCTTATTTTTATGAACAAAGCAAACAGGGAATTAGCATATTTCAACATATGCACTTTGGAACATTTTTAGCATGTTAACTTCTTAAATCGTCTAGCACCAATATGCTTTGAAACCAGCACATTTTGGTGGCTTTTTAATTTCCCATAACTAATGTCACCAACCTCCTACAATTACAGGGCCAAAATATGCATTTTACCCAAAGAAAGAGTTGATTTAAAATGTGTAGGTGACCTGCACGCGATGTTAGCAATGGCTGAATCAGCAGTTAGCTGATGTTTTGCAGCAATCTTACTAGAGAGAAGATTGGGTCATGAAGTTCCTGTCGCCAATGCTGTGAATGCAATGACATAAGGACTTATTCCTGCAGTCATCAGAACACCTAATGCTTCATATAGTTCTCTCAATACAGTAGTGCAACATATGCACTTTGGAACATTTTTAGCATGTTAACTTCTTAAATCGTCTAGCACCAATATGCTTTGAAACCAGCACATTTTGGTGGCTTTTTAATTTCCCATAACTAATGTCACCAACCTCCTACAATTACAGGGCCAAAATATGCATTTTACCCAAAGAAAGAGTTGATTCAAAATGTGTAGGTGACCTGCACGCGATGTTAGCAATGGCTGAATCAGCAGTTAGCTGATGTTTTGCAGCAATCTTACTAGAGAGAAGATTGGGTCATGAAGTTCCTGTCGCCAATGCTGTGAATGCAATGACATAAGGACTTATTCCTGCAGTCATCAGAACACCTAATGCTTCATATAGTTCTCTCAATACAGTAGTGCAAACTTTTCAAATAAAAAAAAAAAAAATAATAACTGTAACACAGCTTATCAGGTTTTTGAGTTGTGTAACATAAGCTATCCCACTAATGAAGATCGAAGAACATAAGAAGGCAGGCCACCCATGGGTAACCTGACAGGGAGGTACACACACAAGGAGAAGCCGCCATGGTAGTAGGAGAATTTTCAATGAAATGAGTGCAGTCCAAAGGCACATGTTATCCACTTTCCTTGATTTTGCAAGCTCTACCTGTTCCGTATTGAATTGAAGGATATAAATATAAGCCAAATACAAATTACGTAAACACATAAAAAAAGGGAAAGGGGTCAAATAGGCCCTTCTACAATTATAGACAGGTCATCTAAACCCACGCACAAAAAAACCATCACATAAACCTGTTTACTCCAAAAAATGGTCAACCCAACCAATTTACCGGAGAGAACCCTCCATAGCCGGTCAATTGCTAATTCATACAGATTAATATTTTTCTATTTTTCTTTATTAACTTTTTCTTTTCTTTTTTAGTCTGTTTCATCCAGCTTTCCTCTTCAAGATCGGCAAGGAGGGATTTCCCAGTCGGCGGTCTTCGTCACTGATTTGGGGGATTTCACAAGAGACAAAATCAGTGATTCCGTTGTAGAGCAGAGAACTTCACTCCTCCCTTCTTCAACTACCAGGCGTCGTGGTCCTTGTTGCAGCACAGTGAGAAGAGAAGGGGCTGCTTCCATGGGGACGACTCTGAAGGACGGCGTCATTGGGCTGCTCTCAAGTCTTCGATTAGAGATGGAGAGTAAGGACTTACTGATTTCTTTCCTTGGATTCAGAATTAGCGGCTTTGGAGCTCCTCATACCTGCGACCGGAGAGAATTCACGATAAGGTTTGTGGGCGGCAAACTGAGTCAGGGAGGTGGTGTCCATTGGCAGTGGTAAATGGTGTCCATTGGCAGTAGCATATGGTGTGTCGGTGGGAAATGGTGGCCAGAGCATTGACGTACTCGCGGTTGCTGCTACTTAAGTTGATTTATGTAAATTAAAGTAAAGGCAGAAATAAAAAGTAAAGAAAAAGATAATGAAAGAAGAGTACGAAAAAAATAATAAAGATGAAGACAAAGGGAAGAGGGATGGAGAGCTGAACCAACAACAAGAGTACGACATATCACATATCAGAAACAACAAGTGACCGGCTAAGAATAAACGGGTTTATGTGATGCTTTTTTTAGTACATTGGTTTAGATGACCGATCTACAATTGTAGAAGGGTCTATTTGACCCTTTATCCAAACAAAATTAAATATTGAAGGCACCAAACTATGAACATGAAAGTTTGGTAGTTGGTACTACATAAGCATTTCTAAATGAAATGAAGATAATCAAGAGCCAGGATACAAAAAGTAACATATTGTTGGTCATCTAGAGAGGGGGTATAACAAAAGTTATGGCATCCTCTTGCTATCGACATATATTATTAAATAATACTCCCAGCATTAAGGGTATGTTTCGATCGCAGACAATGCTACTGGGGAAAGGGGGGAATAAAAAGTTACTTTACGTTTCACTGTAGCTGTGAAAACGCATTGCAAAATTAAATGTGATTATTTTTACTTAAACTTTCATATTTTCAGATTCTGTCTTTATATAATAAACGAAAATCTCACTTTTGTTCCCCACGACTATTAGGACGAAAATCTCACTTTTGGTCCCCACAACTATTAGGTCATTCCAAGTTTTGATCCCCAATTTTCATTTTTTCACTCATGGTCCTTTCCGGCGGCTTGTCTAGTGAAAATCAACCGCTTCGAAAATTGACCTGATAAGTGGCCAAACTCAGAAGGACCATAACTCCATAAGTGATTAAAAATCTACAATTTGCGGGACCAAAACTTGAAAAATGAAAGTTGGGATCAAAAGAGAGAATTGCCTAATAAGTGATGGGACCAAAGCTGAATAATTTCACAATAGTCATAAATAAATAAAATGTGTATCAACAAATACTTGAGATCCATTTAGAGAGTTTTATCTCCTCTTAACTTTCCTTAACATTTCTTCCTTTCTTTCCGATTCTTTTCAAAAACTTCTTTCCTAATCCAACTATCTCATTTTGTAAGATACACTTTCAATAGTTTGAGACATTGAACTCAGCTACTTTACTCTTTTATCAATCACTTCCCCTTTTATGTTTTGTAGACCGATACTACTTGTTCTTCCCACTTTATTTTCTTAAAGCTCGAGCCAGACAGACCCTAATAAAAGGCAGAGGGAAGAATAGTACCACAAATGCATTGGCAAAATGTTGCTTTCAGATTGTGAAGATATCAAATTCATTGACAACTTGGCAATATCTGCCCAGGCAACTCTGCAAATGATTCAGCAGCATCTGCACCAGACAATACTTAATTAGGCCAACCGCAACTCAGCTCCGTCAATAAATTAAATCCCCCATCAGTTTATATGTATTCACTCAGTCAACTCGGTTAATTAAGTTTTTACTGCGATCCAGCACCGCCAATATATTCACCCAACAAAATTCTTCTTAACTAAAATCTTACTTTTTTTATTATACATCATTTTTTTCAATTTTTATTTTTGCGAATAATTATGATTTAAAAAATCAAACATTCCGATGTAAAAATACATAAATTTGAAGTTTAATTTTTTTAATGTTACTTCAGACCTATTTTAAAAAAACGAAAGATGTAAAATACATGAGATCTTAATTTTTTAGCTTTTGAATTTATTTAAGAAACATTTTGGGTCGGAAAACCTACAACAGTTGAAACTTCATATTTTTCTATTTACTTTATATATGCAATATTGGCGTCATATGAAAGATCATAAAAAGTTATGAATGTTGATATTTTTGTAAAAATTGGAGTACAAATAAAAAAGTTATTACGCTTTCAAAAACTGGGATTTAAACTTTGCATGGACCCACTGCTTATTCCTTATGTGACCAGCCAGCTGCTGCCTCTCTCCGTGAATAGCCTATCTAATTTGCCTCCCAAGGGTGCCCCCAACCCACGTTGCCACTTTGGCGCCCTTACATACATAGGGTTGGAGTAATTTTTGGGGTGAAAAGCTCAAATATGACTTATTCACCCCAGGGTTGCAGACAGTCTTAGCATGACCTGTAAAAGTCATTCTTTCAAAAGAAAGCTTATACTATATCGAAAAGGTAGTAACTCAATGCAGTAGAAGTTGTCGGGAAGAGCTTAATATTCATTTTGCTTGTACACAGCTTTTCGTAATAGTTAAGTTGTTGCTTAATCCTCATAAAACAATGTTACCAAATGCTTCTCCTCTCGCAAATTCAGTCATTTCAGCCTAACAACTCTTACAAGATGGGCCCAGAGTATCGTTATACTATTAGATTCAAATTAGTGATAACTAATAGTAGCAAATTATTCAATCTAAAATGAAACTTCTTGCTTTCAGAAATTACCTGTCTTGTGCCCTGAATGGATGGAGAAAATATCAACAATTTCCCCACTTGTCTTCATCTCCATCTTTGACTGACTCTGAGCACTTCTCTTGATCTGTAAGTCCATGAGACCATGAATAGCACCCTCTATAGGAGGAACCCACTCCTCTGGCCTACCTGATCATTCCTTGATAAGCAATGACTTGAAATTATGTATAATTAAATAATACTACCTCTGTCCCATTGTATGTGTCCTAATTTGGTTTGGCACACTTATTAATAAAGTGGTTGAAAAAGTAAAAGTCGTGGTTGAAATTTGAGTATAATAAAGTGAAATGATGTAGACCACATATTTCTTTCCATTGGGAGCTATTTTAAATTGTGATGTAAATTTTCCTTTAAAAGATATGAATAGCCTTTTTATGTAAAATTTCGATTTGGGAGCTGTTTTAACTTTATTAGACAACTAGTACGGTACCCGTGCGATGCACGGGATATAATTGCTTTCATATTATATGTACATTAGGTTTTAGAGAAGTGATAATAATATAGATATATTTACGTTGTTTAAAGCAAGGTGAAATTTGCATATGTTGTTATACATTAAAATAAACTTATATGGAGTACTTTTTTTAAAGGATACTTTATTCTTTCTTATTTATCGCAATAGTTAATTTGGCTATTAAAGCTAGCCTTAAATGGATGATTTTCTCATGTATAACAATCCCAAATATTTAAAAATATATTAATAACTATTTTGCATGTGTGGAACAAAGTTTCATATAGAACTTTGTTTCCTCATTGTGTCTGTTTCTGGGTTCAAAAATTATACGGAGTACTTCGTACTATGTAGTTTAGAGGTCAAACAATAGAACATACTCTAAAGATTACATCTTATGGGTAAGACTTTGTACACTAAAGATTTCGTAATTTATTTATAAATTTGCTTAAATTGAAAAGCTTAAAAGGTGTTTAACATAAGATACCTCTTAAGTGTTGTGGACATCTTTTCCTGTATGTTAGACCAACATCAACATCAACCTTATGGCTCAGTGGATTTTCAACGTGTTCATCTCACCATTTCCCAATCCATCTGATTTTTTAAACATCTTTGCACTTCTATTCAAGCTAGGCTGCAGGAAAAAAACTATTAGAAGTCATAAACTGAAATGCCTCCATAGCTGGGCTTGAATTAATATATATAGATTGATTCAATCATACAATCCAGGAGGTTAACTATAACAACAGTTCTATATTATGCATAAACGATCCAGGAGTGCATGCCAACGGTTAAATATAACTCTCATATTTGAAGACTATATTTTTTTCTTGTTAAAGACATTTAAATTGCAATCATTTTTGTAGTTGATATACAGATCGAGTTTCTTTCAAAAAAAATACAGAGCAAGTTTGCTATATATATAATATATATAGGGATAAGGGTCAGTTTGGTCCTCGAAGTTGCAAAAAAAGGGTCAAATAAGTCCTTATATAGAAGTTTCTGTCCGGACGTGCCATTTGAGGTGGCTCCCGGTGGAATTTTTTGATGAAATTTTTTGAGCATCTTATTCATTAAGTCTAGTTTACTCATACCAAATTTCAGATAAAAATTCAATGGGGAAGACATTCAAATGAATTCTTGAAGATAACTGTGCCGTTAAAAGCGTTGTTATCTTCAAGAATTCATTTGAATGTCTTCTCGATTGAATTTTTAGCTGAAATTTGGTATGAGTGAACTAGACTTAATGAATAAGATGCTCAAAAAAATTTATCACAAAATTCCACCGGGAGCCACCTCAAATGGCACGTCCGGACAGAATCTTCTATATAAGGACTTATTTGACGCCTTTTTTGCAACTTCGAGGACCAAACTGACCCTTTACTCAATATATATATAATATATATGTGTGTGTCAAATCTGTCAAACTCCAAATTAAATGGAAGTTTCAGGAACTGCCTATGGTCAGTCCTATCTTATATGCATCGTGGATTGGCTGGATATTATTTCTCATTCCATTATTACAATCAGGGCACGCGCAGCGGTTATTATACTAATTATACCATTACTATATTACGTGATATGCACAAATGGATTAGGCGGGAACAGGTTTTTGATAGACGATTTCATTTATATATATAGATATAGATATAGATATTTTTTAATAATAGTTAGAGTTAATACATATTGATCGTACAACCAGCCAAAAGATAGGTATTGATCGTATTTATAATCTCCTAGTGGGATGTGACACTTATTTTGGAACAATCCGAAAAGGAAAGTAGGACAGGTCAATGAGACGGAGGGAGTAATAAATAAGTTGTTCCCAACAAATCTTAATTGTTCATTAACTATAAGAGATTTACTCTGTATTATATAACAAAACCATACAAAGGGAGGGATGTATATGGCCAAAACTTGTCGTGAGCATAAACATGTATCAACAATCACCTGAACTGGACAACCGTCAGCAAAGACTCCCACAAGATGACAACATTTGGAGTCCATACCTACAAACATCAAAAAAATTGGAAACTTTCACGTTAGAATCCCAAATCTGAAAATTAAAGAGAGAAGATGGGTCAATAGGCCTTGGCTCGAAATAGCTAACTTGTAGAGCCAAATATAAAAACTGTGCTTTTACCATTAGAATAATGTAAATCCAAATGTAAGACCAGAAGGACCAGAAAAGTTCCAAAATCCAGACCCCCAGATCTGATATCTTTTTCAATTGTTCACCGGCTTTAGGCACCACTACACAAACCACGTGTATAGGGAACAGATTAGCGTTCTTCAAACTCAAGTACAAAAACCGTTTTATCCTTTCCTTGTTAGATCTTACTTATCATGCCATAAGGCTTGGAATGCAACATCATGCAAATTTATGTCTTCCTTCTCCAATTGGTCACAAAGCTCGAAAGCCATATTCAATTGTCCAAGCCTCTTGTATGCACGGATCAAGATAGTGTATGTCACGACATCAGGAGGTACATTCTTCCTTCTCATCTCTTCTAGTACCATATTGGCCATATCAATACGACCAACACTGCAATACCCATCTATAAGGCATGTATAAGTAACAACAGAAGGCAAGACTTCCGCAAGTGTCATTTCATTAAACAATTTCAGTGCTCTGTTCATATCTCCAACTCTACAAAATCCAGCTATGACAGATGTATATGAGACGTTATCAGGATTCAACCCTTGAAAGGGTATTTCCCTAAACAGTTTGTAGGCTTCAGTTAACTTTCCCATTTTGCAAAATATATTAATGAGAATGGTATAGAGAGTTGTATCTGGAGTAACCCCAAGTTTTAACATTCTTGTGTACAACAGCAAGGCCTTCTTGATATTAAACTGTTTCGCAAAACCGTTAATAAGAGTGCTATAGTTTACAACACCGGGCAATACATTCATCTTAAGCATCATCGGAATTACTTCTAGTGCCTTCTCTGTATTTCCATCACTACACAAGCTACTAATAATGTAGTTGAAGGTAAATATATCAGGGTAACGGCCTTTTTTTATCATTGCTCTGAGAAGCTCCAAGGCTTCACGGGCGGAACCCATCTTGCAAAATGAATGGATCAAGTTGTTATAATTTAAAGCACTAGGAATCATATTATTACTGATCATCTTCTCCAAGAACTTGTGAGCATAGAACAAATCACCCTGCAAGCAAAACCCGTTTATTAAGATGTTGTAAGTAACCTGGTCATGCTTATAGCCATACTCCTCTATCTTATAAAACAGGTCAAGTGAGAATTCCATGGGTACACTTCTGCAAAGACCATTCAACAGTGAGCTATAGGTAACCAAGGATGGTTTTATGTTGATAGCTTCCATCTCCATTAGTAAGGAAAGACTTTTCTCAGCATTCCCACATATAGAAAACCCATCAATCAATATACTATAGCTGTATAAATCTGGTAGAACTCCACTAGCCTTCATTTCTTCAAAAAGATTCACGGCTTCAATGGTTTCACCATTTGCACAAAATCCATGCATAACGGCATTATAGCAATAAGAGTTTATGAATTCGTTGCTATGCCTCATGTCTCGAAGATAATCCAAAGCAAAGTGAACACATCCAGCTCTACAAAGTCCATGGATATAAACACTGTGTGTTACAACAGATGGATTAATCCCTCTAGTAACCATTTCCATCATAAAATCTGTGGCTTTTTCTAAATCCATCTTATGTTGAGTGTGATTCTTACAACAATAGAAGTTCACCATAATTGTATATGTATAAACATTGGGTGATGGTCCAAATTGCCTCATCTCTTCAAATAGTGTTTGAAGAAGTTCTTTCCTCCTTGCTTCTGCCAAACATTTCAGTAAGAAATTGCATGAACAATTACTTAATCTATAACCAAATTTCTTAGCCTGGAAATATGCATCTATCCCATCTTCAAACAACTTATTTGCAGCAAAAATCTTGATAAGAACATCAACAACCAAAGCTGACATTTTTGAATCATCGGGTGAAATAAGCAAAAGTGGAAATATCTTAACTAAATCATACTCAGTCTTCGGGAAATTGAAAACAATATCTTTGAGCAAAGCATACATTTCCATCTGCATTCCAACTTGTGCAAAAATATGCACACACATCATGAAGGCATTGATTGATTGCAAAAGGCCATGCATTTCAATTGATATACTGAATCTAATTTCTCTAGCTACCTCCCACCCCAATGATTTGTACACTCTCACAACAACTGAGCAAAGTTCTGGTGAGTAGCACATATACAATCTCTTCCTCGGAATAGTTGGAACAAATGGTTCAAATCCACATCTGTCATCACCACTTGAACATGAGTCGGAATCTTCGAACAACAAAGCAGATGAGACACCCCCAAAATTTCGACAATACCCACTTTCTGCTGTGAATGTACTCCTTCCAAAAAATCCTGATTTTACGAAACCCGTGAACGTGGAAAGGCCACATGATTTTCTTGACAATGGAAACCGACCCATAAAGCAAAACCTTGAACAATAGAGTAATTGTTGTTATTTCCCAACATCTGCACTCTTGAAATACATGCAATAGGAATCAGATGTCAACAAATAAATAATATGGTTGCGCAACAACCAAAGACACATTTTTAACAGTGTTCTTTCCAAAACAACATCATACCATTTGTAGCTTCCAACCTCAAATGGATTACTCTGAAGTTCTCTTTTGTTAATTTTTTATAACTTGTCAATCTTCCATGTGGTCTCTCCAAGCAGCTTAGAACAAAATGGATCTGATATGCTAAGTATCTTCAATTTTAAAACAGAACCTGTTATAAATTCATAAAGCATAATGTAGCCATGAAATAGTGGTCTCCCGACTTATACATTTGAAACATTAGACCTTCAATAGTGGAGTTTCAACAACCCAAATCCCAACTATTCGAACATAAATTCATATAGGAAATAAGGATAATAAAAGAAAACAAATATGGATTGATAACTTACTATGAACTTGACATGACAATTGTGTCACAAAAAGAGAGACCAGTGGCTGCTACTCAACAGTTAATAGTCAGAAGAGGTAGGTGGGCCACACACGGCTGATGTTGTAGGAGAAGACTGGTGGATTTTGTCTTAGTCCAGTGATTAGGGTGACGGGTAGGGGGTGACAGCAGAGGCAAATCTAGCATTTCAATTGAGGAGGGGCAAAAAAAAAGTAAGTTTGAATTCCGTTTGAGCATAGCAATAGAACTTCTACTGTAGTTTAAAAATATGTATAGTCATGCTTAAGCTCAAAATATATCTTCACCAGGAGAAAAATTAAAGTAGCAGAATATTTACATATAGAATAGGATAAAAAAAACACAAATTCCTAACAATTAACTGTAGAAAGAAAAGCTACTCAATAAATTAATAACCACAGCTCCTATTGCCAATTGCGATTAAGTTGTGGCTTGTGAAATTCTTTTTTTTCTACCAGGCGTCTGTCAAAGTCAAGAGTCTGCGGGCGGGCGGAAGCAGGTGCAGGGAGTGAGGGAGCAGCGGTAGCCGGTGAGTGGGTCGTAGCAGTGCGCCGGTGCAGCGTGCAGTAGTCGGCTCGTTGGCTGATGACGTCTTCTCGGTCGCAAACTAGGACGGTCGATGGAGAGGAATACCTTTGTGATAAAGAAAATACTCGAATTCTTTAAATTAAACATAGTGGAATCATATTTTCAAAATAACCAATTATTTGAACCGAGGACTCGAACCGAACCGGCCCGTTTCAAACGGGGCGGGTAAGGTTCGGTTCCTATTTTGAAATTAGGTATACCCGGACCGAACCTACCCGGTAAATGAAACCGGCGGTTCTTAAAAATTTATCGATTACCCGAACCGACCCGGACCGTGCCCACCCCTACTTCTTGGTACTATAAAGAAATAATCATGTGCCTGTGTTTTTTTTGCCTGGGGCCACCACCCAGGGCCGCCGCTGGGTTGGTGGCGACGCCTCACCGTTACAAAGCTTTTGTGGTATGGACAATCGCCGAACGCCTCAATCATATATTAGCCAGCTTATGCTTTTGTGGCTTGGACGCTTGGACAGTAGAGTAGACCTGTGGGATGTTGCTGTGCCGCTGGGACATATGAGCCCGAGCTAATGCATGGATCATCTACAAAAAGAGATACAAATGTTACTCTTTATTTGAAGCAAAATCCTAATATCATCAATGATTAAGTTGCTATATGAATATTCGCTCCCCTTCTGGATACTTCGAATCGCCAATTGTGTCACGCCCCGGACCTCCCCGGACACGTCAACAACCCGCCGTACAATACGAATAGTCAACCGCAGTCCAACACATTCATATTATACAAAGCGTCTTGAATATCATTCACACATATAACATCCATAAACAAACATAATAAGTAATTCATAACGCAGCGGAAAACATTGTTTAAAACAAAAGGGTCACACATGGCTATTCACGAGCACGCGGGCTCTATAGTAAAATATCCATGAGCAGATTTATTAATGTTTCAAATAGAATGAAGGAAGCACGAACCAAGTCTTCTCTCTAAGGAATCACTCAATCAACGAGCACAGGATGCAAGCTCTAGCCTCAACCTGAAATGGTGGTGGGACGCCCCCGAAGGGGTCAGTACTCTATACGGCTATAAAGTACTGGTGTGGCAGGTATCTAATAGATATACAACAAGTATTTCAAACACAAGACCCTCAAATAGGGTGATAGTACATTATGATTGTAACCCTAAGTTACCCCGTCTGAAAATATACTTACTTTATATAAAAGTCAAGTAGTCGGCCGTGGGCCCATATTCATTTAGAAATCGCCATTCCCATTCCCCGTGACTATAAGCCACAACAACTCATAGAGTCCAACCCTAATACATGACATTGTATTCTAGAGCTCGGTTATACCACATCACCATACAATTCATGTCACTCGGGTCAATTTCCTTACCTTGCGTTCTAGAGCTCGGCTCTATCACATCACCACGCAAGCCCTAGAGCTCGGCTCTAGTTATACCATACATAGACTACAAGTCTACCACCTTACCATGCATTCTAGAGCTCGGCTCTATCACATCACCATGCACCAAGGTCCAATTCTTAAGCAAACTTATGCCTAGAATTGACATATCAATAAACTACCACGGGTCATCCTTAAAGACTGCTCATAACTTAACCTTAGTCTCATACTAAGTCATTATATACACTTGAAGTATATTCAAGTGCATTTCATACAATCCAATCCTTAAGGTCAATTCTATCAACAATTTCCAATAATCACTAACTAGTATTTCAATACTATTAAGATTATTGTTATCATACAAGAATTCTCATTTTGTAATTTCCTACATATTTATATTATGTAGCAGCAACTTAAATATTCAATATCAATACATAAATATTCATTTATGTATCCTCATATTTCATACATGAGTAAAATGTCTATTTCACAAAATAGTTCATTTATAACTCATTTAATCTCTTATTATTCATATAACCTCAAATCACTTCCAATTGCATTATTTGGAAACTATATCAATATTTAATCATCATAATCCATGAAATAAATTATGATTTAGGCATTTAGGTAATCTCATGCTTAACCTACAAGTTGTAAGCAATTAGATGTCAATCCTCACCTCAAATGAGCTTTAAAACCTTCCTCCTCGATCCAACGACCAAAGCCTCGGCCAAGAAGGTTTGAGAACTGATTCTTTGCTTGGAAATGAGTGTTAAACAGCCTCCTCAAGTGCTAGTTCAACCCCTAATCCTTGATACGAAAACAGCCCCTAGAATGGGTGTTTTCCGGCTAACTCGTTTCCTAGTTTTCCAAGATTTGCTCTAGGTTAGTATCTAACCTTTACATCAATAAAATAACCTTATGAGGACCTATTATACACTTGGATTAGTGTATAATAGCTCCACCAATCGTTCATATCATTTGGAAAATGAAAAGTAAAGTTTTGGGGTTAACACTCACTTTAGGAGAGTAAATCCGTTTCTGCGAGGTTGTGTTTTTCTCGGACGATTTGGAAGCCTTCCACTACTCCGATTGATGCAAACCAGACCTTCACGGATTGCTCTTCTTGAGAGCTTTCGTTTGGTATCTTGAAAGCCTTATTTGGATTGGTATAACTCGAGATATCAACCAGTCTCAACACTCTCACTGCTCGAGTTCACTCCAGCTCGATTTTTGTATGATAAACTCTCCCCTCTCGCACAGAGACCACTCAAATATGAAACTAGACTTCAAAGGTTATCCAAGGACACCTCATTCAAGTTATTTGGTCGAGTACAACTCCCATAATGAAGTGAGACAAACAGCACACCAATTTGAGCGAAAATAGTGATGGTGGCCCCAAAATTTGATTCCTATCAAGTCTTGTGCAGCTCCTCTCCATGCTGACCGGCCAAGGTAAGTCTTCTCACCCATTTTTATTTGTCTTGCAGGTACTAATATCATGTGGGGTGGTTCCCAATTGATCTCAATCATTTTGGGGTCCAAAATATCTACCAATACTTCCAAAAATGGGAAGATGGGTCCTATTGTTTTATCTTTTGTCAAAAGATGTCTTTTTGTACTCATCCTAATTTATTTAGAACAAGTCAACTTCCTACATCACATTATTGATCTCCAATATGTGTAGGCTCATCTCAATAATTTACTTGATGGATATTATAGAAGGAAAATCATACTCCCATTATTTAGCTCAATAATGTCAAAGATGGGACTATAGGCATTTGTATTCCTCCCTAGTCATTCTATCACTTATTTTGACATTTGTCATTCATATTATTGGACTAATAGTCGTGTGGGTCACCCTCGAGTGGGCCTAGGACGCCATTCTCGAATACTTGCTATTTTTAGCAGGTTGAGCCCAAAATAATGTCTGGGCCGCCTGACCTTCCTCAACTTGTCTTGAAAAGTTAAGTAACATTATTTAGGTAATGTTGGGCTCTTATGTTCATTAATAAGGCCCAAATAAGTATTTGCAAAACCCGACACTAATATACGAGTCTGAACAATACAATATTCAATCATGCACTACGTAAAACATAAATTGATTTACAATTGTTTGGTAAACCGGAAATTCAATACATAACTTGAATTTTAAATTGAATTTTCAAGGACGTTCGGGTGCGGTGTCACAAGTTCACCCCCCCCCCCCTTAACAGGAATTTCGTCCCTGAAATTCACAGCTCTACTTGAATAGGAAAGCATATTGCTTCCTCATCAAGGCCTCTGTTTCCCGTGTCTCTTCTTCGACTTGATCGCTCTTCCAAAGTACTTTAACCATTGGGACTTCTTTGCTCCTCAGTTTCTTCACCTTTCTATCGGTGACCTTGATTGGTTGCACAGCGTAGTTCAAATCCTCACGTACCTCTACAGGCGGCTTTTCCAATACGTGAGAGGGATCATGCACATACTTCTTAAGCATGGATACACGAAACACATTATGTATCTTCTCTAATTCAGGTGTTAACTGCAGACGATATGCTACGGCCCCAATCCTCTCTATAATTCTGAATGGACCTATGTATCGTGGGTTAAGCTTTCCTCGGGTTTGGAATCGAATGATTCCTTTCCAAGGAGAAACCTTAAGAAATACCTCATCATCAACCTTAAACTCTAAGGTTCTCCGACGCTTATCGGCATAGCTCTTCTGTATGTCTTGTGCCGCCTTGAGTCTTTCTCGAATCAACTTCACGTTTGACTTGGTGACCTCAACCAATTCGGTCCCCTCGAGTTTGGCCATGCCAACCTCGTCCCAGCATAACGGTGTACGACACCTCCTCCCATACAATGCCTCGTATGGAGGCATGCCGATGCTTGCCTGATAACTGTTGTTATAGGCAAACTCCACAAGTGCTAAGTGGTTGTCCCAACTTCCTTGGAACTCCAATGCACAAGCCCTCAGCATGTCTTCTAAGATCTGTATGACTCTTTCAGACTGCCCATCCGTCTAAGGATGGAAAGCAGTACTGAATTGAACTTCAACCTCGTTCCCATAGACTCCTGAAATTTCGGCAAAAAACGTGATGTGAATCGTGGGTCTCTATCGGATACAATGGTCACTGGAACCCCATGTAGCCTCACGATCTCATCCGTATACAATTTGGCTAACCTCTCAAGTGGGTAAGTTGTGTTGATAGGTAAGAATTGTGCACTCTTCGTGAGCCTATCTACAACAACCCAAACTGCATCATAGTTCATGATTGTCCGTGGTAAACCTACCACGAAATCCATAGTCACGTGTTCCCACTTCCATTCAGGAATGGAAAGTGGTTGCAATAAGCCTGCTGGATGCTGATGTTCTGCCTTAACTTGTTGACAAGTAAGGCATCAACTGATGTATTCGGCTATTTCCCTCTCCATTCCAGACCACCGGTAACTTTCTTTCAAATCACGGTACATTTTCGTGCCCCCCGGGTGCATGGCATAAGCCGATGAATGAGCCTCCTCTAAGATGGACTTTCGGAGCTCGTCATCTGACGGTACACACACTCGGTCACGGAATAACAAGAGACCATCATCACTTTCCCTGAAATCCTCCACCGATCCCGCTTGCATGCGTTCCCGGACCTTCATAAGTTCTGCGTCAGTCTCTTGACCCTTCTTGATCTCATCAAGTAAGGTCGGTCTCACCT